AGAATTAGTTGGAAGTTAGATCGCGTGACAATGATCGCTCATGAATTCGTCAAAAACATTGGATTTTCCCAAAAGTTTGTTAAATTGAACCAACCTTTTGCATTTTTAGATCGCAACACTGAGTTTTATATAGTTATTATTATTATTTGATATTTTAAAATACACATGTTATAAACGGAGATCAAATAATTTTGATAAAACGAATTTACGATTATTTTCTTCTTTTTCTCTTTACAATTTTTCTCCATTTTTCCTCTTATATTTTATTTTTTTTTGCTCGTATCATTCAGTTCAGTTCGGTTCGTTTATAGGGAGTCTCGTTGAATACTAAATTCTTGCCGGAGGTTATCGAAAAAGCCAAAAGCTTTTTAGCTTACGCGCGACCACTGTAAAAGGACAAGTCGAAATGTTATCCATAGTTTCAAGGATGATCCTCATCCTGTCGATTTTATAAGAAAAATAGTAAGGTCAATGACGCAAGTACCATGGCTACCGTGAATGTTCCTACCGTCATCCTATTGAATGTCTCAAGAAGAAACCTTAGCTCTCGTCTAACCAGGTGACGCTGCAACATTGCACTTAGAGTGCACTCAAAGTATATCCGAGTTTCTCTTCGGTCGTAGGTAATGCTGTCGATCGCTCTTCTTTCTTATATATCGTATTCTTTGGGGTTCTTTTCTTTGTAAAATCTCTTACGTGTGAGAATATGTCTACTGAACGAACGAACGAACCCCTACTTCTTCGTGATGGAATGAAAATTGCTTGCTTGACAATCATTGAGCTTTGTATCACTTTTTTTGTTCCACCTTCGTTCGCTTTTTCACGTCATCGAAGGATGATTCTAATCCATTTTTATTTTTATCGATAATTTCACATCATTGTTTGCAAAACTAATTCAAATGATCGCATTGTATTGTTCAGTCACATATGCATATGCATATATATATATATATATATAATATTATTCACGAGTCATGAGATATCTTGATGCTATGTGTGTGTTACAAACTCATTATTAATTAATTAATTAAAATAAGCTCTCATCGTGTTAATAATATACACATCACAACACGAATACGAGCCATCATAAATGAACAAATGTTCGTTAACTCGTGTTAACGTTAAGTTACAACATACGTTTAATAGACGTGACCGGTGAAGAGGGGGATGAAAAGTTACCGTGTTGAACTTTTGATTATCGAATTACCAAAATGTAGTCCTTTATTTGTTAAATATACTAGTAGAAAGTCAACCATTAATGACTGATCATCAAATTCTTCTCTATTGTACCATAGAAACCAGCTCGTTTATCATTCTAAACAAGAAAGTTATTAGAAATTGTCGACAAGTATCGGTATGCGGTTCACCAACGGCCATTAATTACGCAATACGCGTTTAAAAGAGCAGCGTATAGAGATACTGGTAGTTGGTCAAAAGTTGGTGTACACGAAGAGAGAGAGAGAGAGAGAGTGACCCTTCATATATCGTATATTCGCTTCGTAAGGACATGACCAAGCTAATATTGACTCGAGAAAGTTACTATCTTGAAAGGGGAAATTCTATTTCCTTTAATCGTAATCGAGGGTAAGGGAAACGTCATATAAGGAATATAAGGAAGTAGCATCGCCTGTGGCATTTTCATACCAGTAACATTCATAAATACAAACTTGATCATAGATCGAATTCGAGTTCAGCCTTCAACGATTTTCTCTTACCTCCACGCTCTCTCTTTTTCTCTCTCTCTCTCTCTATTTCTCTATTTCTCTCTGTACCTGCTCTCTTCGATCAAGAAGTACAGTTCGAATTTCCAGTAAAGCTAAAAGCAATCGTGGTAGGTTACCGAAGGGACGAGTAAAGAACGGTTGGTGAACCGTACCTATTTATCCGGTTGATTTCGATTCGCGTAAATACGAGTGACCTTTAAACCTTTCGTCGGGAAGTACGACGACGAGAAGGATGGGCTGGGATGTAGGTGTAAAATGAGAAAAGAAAGTATTCCATAAAGAGAGAGACAAAAACAAAGACAAAGAAGCGAAGCAAAAAGATGGTCGAGGGAAAGCTTGCGAGTGTGAGGATGTTGACGCTTCGATAGGAATTTAATTTTCGATGTCACATACGGCGCCGCTTCTGCAAATTGAGCATGCGGCAAAAAGAAACGAGAGAGAGAGATAGATAGATAGATAGATAGAGAGAGAGATAGAGAGAGAAGTGGAGGTGGGATGGAGTGGTGAGGGGGAGAGGAGGGGAGGGGGGAGGGGAGAGACAAAAAAAAGAGTGGTAGAAAAGGATGGGTGAAACGTCGGATGAAACGGTCGTGCGTTTAGGGGTAGCGCGGCTGGCTCCGCTTTTGCTGTTGGTGGTGGTGGTGGGTGTGGCGAGGTGGGTTCGGAGGGTGGATTCAAAAAGAATGAAATAACGGATTGGGTTGTGGCCAACTGGCTGAGTTCCAACCAATCCTTAGTCGCCTGGACGAGGGAGTGTATTATGTATACCATTCACCCGCCTTATATCCGTGGCCCCGTAGAATCGTTCCGATGCATTCCATTCAAAATCATATTTCGCATGCTGCGAGCCTCGCATCTCTTCTCACGAAAGAGGGTTTGAAACTCTACAGGGAGGGAAACAGAGGCCAACTTTCAGCCGTTTATTTTCTCGTCATTTCAAAAATACCTCTTAAGACGACGACATCGTTTCTTCTTCTTCTTCTTTTTCTTTTTTTACAAATGTTCGATCGTTTTCGATATTTTTTAATAAACTATCGAGGAGTAAGTTTCTCGTCGAACTTAATCATATAACGTTTTATTTTAAAATGTTATTTTAATAAAATTATAAATCGTCGAATCGTATAATGACTAAAAGGGACAATTAAAAATTCAATATTAATAGAAAAAACATTAATGTATAATATTTTATATTGATTATTTGATAAAAGTTAATGGCGAAAGTAATTTATAAAATCACAAACAAATTAGTACTAGGAAATTACTTGAAACAAATTTTGTTATCGCGAGTACATATTTGTTTTATAATTTTTTCCAATTACTATCAATCATTTGTACAATTTTGAAATGATGCTAAACGACCAGGAATTTATTCGAGTTACGTACTTCTAAGGTTCGTATACTTTACCCAATTAAATGAAGTAAAAGCATTTAGGTATTCCGGTTCCCCGCTATGGTACACATTCAATGAGAAATTTCTGATATTCAGTATTTTACATTAGTAATTATTGAGAAAATAATAAATATAATATGAAATAATAAAATAATAAAAATAATATATGAAAAAGGGAAGGGAAAAATATGAACGTTTGAATATGATCGAAAATTGTATGCAATCGTATTTGAATTTTTTATACGCCTACTATTCTCTAAGACATAAATTAAAAACAAATCGAAATTAAGACGAAAATAAAAAAACCTGGAATTTTCCTTTCTCCCTTTCCTTTTCTTTCTTTCTCTTTTCATCTCTTCTCTTTCTTTTTTTTTTCTTCTAAATAACAGATAGATCCTCAAGTTGAAGTGGTTTTCGTATCTGGTTCGACTATTGAAAGAAACGAAATGTATTTTCACGTAACGAGGACGAGATTCGAATCACGATTCTATATTTGTTCGATGATTCTCGAAGAGTTATAGAAAAGATTTCTCGGTGTCTCAGTCTGTCGGATAGTCCCAAGGTAGATAGTACTTGTGGTGGTGGCTTTTTGAAGAGAATTAAAAAAACACGAGACTTCATTGAGGAGCAAGTGGTTTCTTTCTCTCTCTCTCTCTCTCTCTCTCTCTCTCTCTCTCTAACGTTGATTTAATTAAATAATTTTTCACCTCGACGTTCGTTATTTTCTCATTCGTTGATGTTACTTACGCTTCAAACGAGGTTCCATTTTTTCACGAAGAAAAGAACTGAGATAAAATTTCATAATAACCTTTTATAATAATTAACTCATCAAAAATTAGAATCTACATCCATATATATATTATTGTTTATTTGAAAATATTTTAATATCTATCATAACCGATCATAAATTTCTTTGCGAATAAATCTGTGTTAATTGAATATCGAATTTTTTTGTTGTCTTCAAAGATTATTACGGAAATTGTTTTCGTCGAAATCCGATTAGAAGATATTTCTATATATCGTCGAGGATGCGTTTCAAAGAACATCCATGTGTTTCAAATTAATCAAATATTTCGACAAATCTTTAATAAGAATTAAAGAATCCAATTGTGATTTTTTCGTTTTCGAATATATTGTACGAAGAATAATCCTTTTTTTTTTTTTTTTTCGTAAGAACTTACGAAACCCGATCAGGCGACCAAGAGTATCATGTCTCCTATTCGTTTGTGTGCTATTACATCTTTCTCGGATGAAATCTTCGGATGCATCGAAGCAAAGCGTAAAGCACAATCGTCCGAAAGCAGGCCAATCCTTTCTATTAGAAATTGGTTTCGGTCTTGCGGGCACTGTGCTTTTCCAGTCCTTTGAAATACTAATGGAAAACAGACGTGAAAACGGACATCCCCTTGACTTTTTTCTTTCTTCTTTGCGTTTCATCTTCCAACGAGACCAAAGTCGATCCTTTTTGATAGAAGAAACTAAATGAGGGAGGGGAAAGGAAAAAGAAAAAAAAAAGAAACTAATAGCGAGAACAATAAACAACGAAAAAAGAAATAATAATGAAGAAAAATAATAGAGAGAAAACGGGGAAGATAAGGGACGTGGTGGAGGGGGAAGGGGGGGGGGGAGGGGGAAGAATGAAGAAAGTAACAAAAAAAAAAAGAAAAAGAAAAAACCAAACAAACAAACTAAAACAAACAAGAAAAATTCTCGTTTTAACAGTTAATATTATACTTACCTATTAGATGAAGAGAAAAGTTATTGGACGATTTTGTAAGAATCGCGTTAATGGGTAAAAAATCGTTCGATCAAAGTCGATAATAAATCGTTTTGAAGGATCATCGAGTAGAGCACGTTCTCTGATCGTTCTCCTTAATTCGTTGCAGCGCGGACGAAGGGTTCGACGGTACTTATCCAACGAACGTCGTCGTAAAGAACAATGGCACCTGCTTATACGTGCCGCCCGGTATATTCAAGAGCACTTGCAAGATAGATATTACCTGGTTCCCCTTTGACGATCAGCGCTGTGAGATGAAATTTGGCTCTTGGACTTACGACGGCTTTCAGGTAAGGAACATTTTGAAACGAGGTCAGCGATACTTCCGTACTTACCAACCCCCTCCCTCCTCACACTATTTGCTTTTATATGCTTTCTGCTGTTTTTTCTTCTACTTTATTTTTTTTACCCGACTACACCCCACCCCACCCCCTGTTTTTTTTCTTCTTCTTCTTCTACTTTTACTTCTACTTGTTTTTCCTTTTTATTCTTTTTTTCTTTCCCCGTACAACATCCTCGGACGTAACGTTTCTTTCTCTCTCTTTCTTTCATTCTATACCAGGAAGACTACTTTCTCGAGAGGAAAAAAAATGAGAGACTTGCAAAAAAACGTCAATAGAAGTGTTACTCCGTTGAGTATCTACCGACGTATACTACTTAAAAAAAGAGGACTGAATGATTTGAGTGAACTGCAAGAGATATAAAAATAAAATTAATATAAAATGATAAGAAAAACAAATATATATATATATATATATATATATGTAATTTCGTATATCAAATCTAACGCGAGTGTTTATTCTTTTCTTAAGGTAATCTTAATTGTATTAATTAATGTTATTTCATCTGTAGCATGCATTTACGAAAACATAAAACAGTTTTGGTAGAATAGAATATAGTATGTTATTCGGCAAAAAAAAAATAACATGTACTTCGATATTCTCTTATATTTCACAAGTCTTTTCAATGGTTAAAAATCATATCGTTTTCTCTACTGATACTCAATTCCGGATATAAAATAGAAAAGAAAAAAAAGTAAAATTACCGAACTGTAGTATAATATTTTGCTACGTTTAGTTGAAGTGACAGGAAAACGTTATAAATCCAAATCGATTCTTTCATAACGACACTTGGGCTTAACGAAATAAGCATTCGAGTTAAACGTACAAGTGGACGTAGATGAAACGGGGGAAAAGAAGAAAGAAAAGGAAAAAAAAAATAAAGAGATATATATATATATACATACACATGTACAGAAAGAGAGAGAGAGAGAGAGAGATCGATGACGCTCAAAGGTTCATCGAATCGAACGATAAGCGGGAGAAAAGTTATAGAACAGATTGTGCTGCAGTTTTCATTTCGCCGGGTTCGATCGGTTGAATACTAACCAGATGCAAAACAGTCTTTTTCGTTTAGAACGCCTATTTTCATTTAACGATTCGCATGCAGTAATTAATTCACTATACATTGCATTCAAGCCCCAGTGTCCCCAATACCATATTGATTTTCAAAATCGGAACGTGAAGGGGATAATTGCTATGAGATGTAAAATAAATCCCAATTGCAGTCTCACTCTTCCTGGCTAGTAAAATATAAAAATAAGAAAATGTTTTAAAGTTATTGTTACTATGTGAAGCTTGAGAAGATGAAATACATAAATACATATTTAATCGTTTGGTATAATAAATTGTTAACAGTTGGACCTGCAACTGCAAGATGAATCCGGTGGTGACATCAGCAGTTTCATCACTAATGGCGAATGGGATCTGTTAGGTGAGTTTTTACAAGCTCTTATCAAAACCTTGCCTCATTCTATCCTCTCTCAATGCAAACGAGAGAGAGAGAGAGAAGGAGATAGGAAGGAGAGAGCATAGTTTATCACCATCGCGAATAATTCCTTTAGGCGATTACCAATTCTAAAATCCTTCAGCAACGGTAAAGGATCATAGAGGCGTGTTCCATCGAATTGATTGCAGGTCGATATGATCGATCTCTTCTTTGTATGTCGTCATATCGCTATTGGACAAATATCCTTAGGATCACCGCATTTAAAGGCTTTCATTCTTTGCTTCAATGAATTTTCATTCGATTCTTGATAATGGATTTTCTTTGTGACAACAATTCTCGCCCGAAATTAATAGAGACCGATCGGGGAACGGTCCCGATCTATCGATAGATGATATTAAATTAATCATCAATTTTTTTCGCCGAACACGACGACGCGTTGAATATTTATTATTCTATTCTTTTGTAGATAAAGAAAAAAAAAAAAGGAAGAAGAAGGAAAGAAAAAAAAATATCGGTTAATAGATTCTCTCGAAATAATTCCTATCAACTATCTTTAAATTTAATCCACAAATCCCATTTTACTTCGGGAGAGGATGAGATATTAGTCGAAGTCTAATTAAACGAAATAATAGAAAATTCCATTCCAGGGTAAATTCAAAAGATATTAATATCTACCGTATGGACCTAGGGACGATAAACTTATTGCTTTTAATTCGTCCCTTTTATCAAATTTCATGTTGCTGGGAAGTCGACCGTCGCGACTTCTCAATTAACGCAAACAAAGGATAAAGTCTAATTAACAAAGCCATAGCAAGCTAACTCGAAAGAAGATAATTTCTCGTTAAACTTGCGGACAATACTCGCGGATACGTGGTAGAAGAGGAAAACGAAGAGGAGACAACAAGAGAAAGATAGGGAAAAAGAAAGAGAAGGAGAGGAGAAGAAGAAGTAGAAGAAGAGAGAAAACAATAATTGCGTATGCTTCTCTTGGGAAAAGCATTTCCATGAAGCTTTTGAGTCTTTCCTCTCTCCCATCGTCTCTCTCTCTCTCTGTTTATTTCTCTTTCTTACTGTTTCTATCTTTCTCTCACTTTATCCGTACCTTCTTAAATTGCAATATAAAAATGTAAATTTACAATGTACGCCGAGTCGACACAACAGTTTATTTTCTCGCAACACGAATGTAGATATATTACACGCGAGGGAGGTAAAACGGGGGTGGCTTGTACGCGTTCGGAACGAGATCACAATGTTCCCCAGTAGAAATGCATCTTAAGTAAATCCCGTGTCTGTCTAGTTTAAGGGGTAAAAGGGATAAAGATGGAACAACAACAACAACAACAAGCGGAATAAATCGGTTAAAAATAAAAGAAAGAAAGAAAGAAAGACCCCGTTCTTTTCGTCCCCACGTCATAAGCTCGACTTCTTTCGCGTCTACTCGTGGGAAACACGAATGAAGAGATATCATTCCATCGGGCTTATTGTAATATACGGGATAAGAGAAAAAAAAATATATAACAAGTTGTTTTCCCGGTAGATTTAAGTTCCTTCTTACAAAGAGACACGACAGCGTACAAAGATTATTTTTTCGAAAGTGCATACGTATCGAAAGAATGATTTAATGATATACTATGTTCTATATTTATGCATGCATATGCATATTTTATTATGTTAATACATTTATTTCTTTTTTTTTTTCTTTTTCAACAGGGGTACCTGGCAAGAGGAACGAAATTTATTACAATTGCTGCCCGGAACCTTACATAGACATCACCTTTGTGGTTATCATTAGGAGACGTACGCTTTACTATTTCTTCAACCTAATCGTGCCATGCGTATTAATCGCCAGCATGGCCGTATTGGGATTCACCCTGCCACCCGATTCCGGCGAAAAACTATCTCTCGGTAATGACTTGTTTTTATTATCCATCTCTATCATTTAATCTCATTGGTTACGTATTAGTGTATCGTTTTAACATACTTTTTCACGCGTTGATTGTTTTATCAAGAGATGGTAAAACGTGTGCTAACAAGGCTGCCGTATTTCGATGAAAATACGTTCCAAATTCTTGATTTATGCAAACAAATCTTGCAAAAAATATCCTCGATCCCTTTATTAAAGTTTTTCCTCTTATCGTCCCATCTTCAACCTTGTCGAGCTTTTAAAGACCAGTCTAGTTGTTTCTATAACCTACAAAGATGGTAAAATACATTGAAATTTTGCATTTTAAATCTGTGTGCCAGCTAAAAATTCTAACAGGAAGTACTTCAAAAAAGTGTTAGTGAATTTTTAAAAATATCACGACACGCTTTTCGATTTTCAAGCGGGTGATGGCAAAATAATGATTTACGTTTCCGCATTACGAAGGTCTGCCAAGAAACAGATAAAGTATCTTGCGTTCAATATTACCAGAGTTATGCGGTCCTTAAATCTATAGGGAAAATACGAAGAAACTTTTTCCCCGAGTCAATATATTTAAAATACAAAATATTTTTCAATTCTCTTTCTGTCGGATGATAAGAAGATAAAGAAAAAGGTGAAGAGAAGAAACATTGGTGGTTTGTTGAATATGCCGAAAGATCAGTAAGAAAGGACAAGATGATAGCGACTTAAGCTTCTTTCTCTTTATGTATATATATATATAGTATCGTAACCGAAGTTGCATATTTTATTTCAAGATGATATCGAAGAAAGAACTGTGAGAGAGTATCGATTCGTTGGCTACTTGTTGGACGGTAGAAACTGTGTCCGGTTAGCAGCTTATATGTTAGTAGACGAGAATATTTAGGACAAGTCCGAGTTTCGGAAAGTTTTGCAAGTTTTAATGGTCGCGACGCGACGAGTCGCTTGATCTTTCAATGAATTTCTCAATTGGGAATGAGATACGGTCGAAGGACAAGTCGGTAACATCTGCTAACTTTTGAGAAATCTCGAAAGATACTTTCCTTGAAGACATTACTTTTTGGTTGTGTCATTGAAATTCAGACGATTACACAACTCTTCAATGGGATTATTTTTTATTTCCAGGAGTAACGATTCTTTTGTCTCTCACTGTGTTCCTTAATATGGTGGCCGAAACAATGCCAGCTACGTCAGATGCCGTTCCGCTCTTAGGTAAGTACGAAAAGTATCTCCTTCGCTTTATTTTTCTCAATCCTTCTTCCATTGTTCCTTATTTTTTCCTTTTTTTTACTTTTCGCTCGTCCAAATGTCAAATCAATAATATTATAAAATAATTCATTAACGTACAATATGATTATCATCTATCGATATTTCAGGAACGTATTTCAATTGCATCATGTTTATGGTCGCCAGCAGTGTCGTCAGTACGATCCTCATTTTGAATTACCATCATCGAAACTCCGACACACACGAGATGTCCGAATGGGTAATTTCTCTTGATTACCTATGATCCGTTGTTGTAACGTTAAATAATAAACGATCGTCTGAGATTTCGATTAATCATATTATAACTTTTGTTCTTAGGTCAGGATCCTTTTCCTATATTGGTTACCATGCTTACTTCGAATGTCACGACCTGCCGATAAAGAGGAAAAAGATGCATCGAAATCTCAAAAACCATCTCCGGTCACTGGTAATGAACGAAACTTCAATTGAATAATTTAACTGTTTGGAAATGCGTCGGAACTTTTTATTTTATGTATTCATTGAATCGTAATTGTCGGTTGGGACTTTACTAGGTCCGAGCAAATCGTACGGTGATCTGGAATTGCATCAAAGAAGTAGCAAATCACTGTTAGCAAATGTCCTGGACCTGGATGACAACGCGCTGGCGTCTCACAACAATCTATTGAACAACGTGTACAGTACGCCGGGTCCACACCATCACACGATGGGCCACGGACATAGTCACATACACACGACGCCACATCATCATCACAGTCACGCGACTCCCACGCCGCATCATCAACATTCGACGCCGTTGGCTCATTCTTCCTATCCCGGCCATCAACTTGGCCACACGCCGCATCATCATCAGCATCCCCCAGACACGGCGGCGCCACAGGTCGAGACAATATTTCAGAACGCCTGTTTCTGTGCGCGTTACGAGCTCATACTGATCCTCAAAGAGATCAAGGTAATCGATTCAATTCATTTCTTTTGTTTTTATCCTACCCTCAACTTTACAAACAATCATTTATTTTAAAATATGATGAGAAGAAGAATAAGACAAGTATATGTATATTATGTGGAGATTTGTTAACACGTTCACAATGGGGCTCGTATTTTGTATCTCTCGTCATCAGGTGACTCTATTACTTATTCCTTTAATATGTTTGTATAATCAGTAGCAAATTCAAAAGTGAACGTGTTAAATATACAGACGTATTTATATATAAAGTAATATATACTAATCTCGCAGAGACAATTTATATTAAAACATAAATAATAGAGAATTAAATTTTGAAAATGTTTTTCTTTTGTTCAATTTATTTTAGGATATTGAATGATAATATAAATAATATTAAAAATGTATTTACTTTTGGGTAGGTGATAACGGATCAATTAAGGAGCGACGAGGAAAACACGAAGGTGACGAACGACTGGAAGTTCGCGGCGATGGTGATCGACAGGATGTGCCTAATCATTTTTACTCTGTTCACCATCATCGCTACCATCACCGTCCTATTATCGGCGCCGCACATCATCGTCACGTGATTCAGAAAAGCCAGGCAACTGCCAGTAGTTGATCGTCGAAGATCCGTACTGGAATGCGTTCGATCGATCGCGAGAGCGACAAAACACGACGGGGAGGAGCGGATGAGGATGATCGAAAGGAAAAAAAGAAGGAAGAAGAAAATTGGGGGGAAGAGGGATGATATCGAGAAGGATGAAAACCGAAAATGTTCCTTTCGTCCTTCCGTATTCCCCACGTTCATCGCTAGATCCTTCTTCTTCGTCATTGACGAATTCGAAGCACTCGACTACGCTTCGCGTCATTCAAAAGCAGAAGTTGAACGAGAAGTTACAATATAGGAAGGAACTACTTACCATGTTGACTTATGTCACGTAAACGTAACGTTCTTTTTTAAGAAGGGAAGAGAAAGAAAAAGGAGCTAGGGGAAAAAATATATGAAAACGAGGACACCTTATCGAAGCAGCATGTCAACGTATGTACGTGGCTACGCGATGCTCGCAGAGGGTGGTAAGATCGTGAGTGGGTAAACGAGGGACGACGGATATCTCAGCGAACACGAACAAACACACACACATACACACATACAACATTCACAAAGCGAGCTCACATTCCTCGGTAACAGTCGATATTTCTTCTTTAGTGTTTTATATCACAGTTTTATTTCATATCTTGAAAAGCTTAACTATGTTTCTACGTATGTTATCTTTGTTTTCTTTTTTTCCTTCGGTACTACTGTTACTTTACGTTAAATATTACACAAAATTAGTTCTCTTCATTAAGTTTAATATATAGTTTTGATACTTCTTTAACCTTTTCAAAAGGATTGATAAATATCTACAATAATTCGAATTAAATTGAATTAGACTGTTACCCGAGGTAGACGTGTAATATCTACGCGTAATAAAAAAAAGATAAAACATACGCACACATGAGCAAACGAAAATATTAACATTTATGCAGATTAAAATAATGAAATTCGATGGGGTACGTCGATGATCGAGAGAAAAAGAAAAAGAGAAGAAAAGGAAAAAAGGGGTTAGGGAGGAGGCGCGAGAAGTTCGGGGGAATAAAGGAACAAAAAAGAAAATGTCAAAAATTCACAGGAGCGGCTATAGATCGAGGACTCTTTTCTTGAGGGAAGGATCGAATGATCTTGGCCATTGGCTTCCGTTGTAAATATAGGAAGGACAAATTATTCAAACCAAAAACTCGCACACGTAAAAATATACATATATGACAAACAAGTAACACACATGGGACGGAAACGGACGGACATACTAACACAGACTTAACTTAAACTCATCTATTGCATGCGCGCACATATACATACATACATACACGAATACGCAACACGCATACGCGCACAAATTATACTATACACATAATAATACAGAGAGAACATTAGAGACAGACGATGCACACAAGCGAATGGTAAGATAGAGAAACGAAGAAAGAAAAAAAAAGAGAAAAATGAAAAAAGGAAAAAAACCGACAAACAAACAAACAAAAAATCGCTCCTTCGTTGTGTCAAAAACTGGTAATATAAAGAAAAAAAAAAAAAAAGGAAAAAAAAAAGAAAAAAAAAAAACAAAAGGCAAAGCGCACACGTTATACTCTCAGAATACACACAATGAACTGCCAAGGTGATTCAAATAATATGCCAGTGAATTTTATTATCCGTATCACTAGTAAGTAAAATCGATGACAACTTAATAAACGGGGGATTTATACTACGATTTAAGTGGCGTGCACTAACGCAAATATAAATACTGTTCTTTGTTAGACTGTAAGGGGACATTCAGTGTAAAGCTTTTGAAGAAAGAAAGAGAGAGAAAGAGAGAAAAAGAATGTATGTGAGAGAGAACGAGAAAAAATAGAAAGAGAGAGAGAGAGAGAAAAAAAAGAGAGAAAGAGAGAGAGAGAGAGAGTATGAAGGGGGTATAAAAAATATAAACGGGAATAGCAATTTAGCGCGATAATTTAGTTTTAAGCGACGTTCTTTCTTTCCCTTCTATCTACACACTCTCATATTCGCCCGCATTTATGCACTCATAGACGGACATTACTCACGGACATGTATACACTTGTTTAACATCTAAGAGCGAAAAGATACATACATATATATAAATATACAGAGATACACATACACACACACACAGAGAACCACACATAACTACACGTATACATTTATACAGACACAAGAGACTCAGACACTATCGCTAAGCACGTATTTTTCGAAGAAAACGCGTTAAATGCGGGTTCGCGTGCGAGTATAAATCTTTTTAACCTTTTTATCCTTCCCTCTTAATCGCTTTTTTTCTCTTTGTCCCTTTTTACCTTTATCCGGCTCGCGATCCGAAACAAGTCCTTAAAGATGCGAACGGCTCGTCGTACACGTAGTACATACATACATACATACATACATACATACATACATACATATATACAAACATAAATATATATATATTAATAAATATTAAATAGATGATGATTCGACGTTTTGAATAATTCGAAACGAAGCGATGAATTCGTAATTTTCGAGCTAGCTTAGATGAACTTTTTTAAAATCGCGCGCAAAAATGAATTTCGAATTATTCTACGAACGTTCGAACGCATCCCCGTTCAAAAGATATATGGATCCGAGTTTCTCATCTTTTTTCCCACTATTCCTTATCTCTTCCTGCCTTTTCTTTTTTCCGGGAAGAAAAACGAACACTTTTTTCTCGAGGGAATCAAGCGTTCCACTTCTCTATCTCTCTCGTTGTAAAGAAATAAAAAAGGGAAAGAAATAAAGAAAAAAGAAAAAGAGAAAGAGAAAGAGAGAGATAGAGAGATAGAGAGAGAGAAAAAGAAAAGTATGTGCACTCGTTCCATGTTAGAAGAAGACTCTTCCTTTGCACAAGAGATTCTCTCTTCCCTTTCCATATTTCCTTCGCGAATCATTGCTTCGAATTTCTGTCGACTACGAGACGAAAATTTTCTCCTTTGGTCAATATGTGACTAAAGAGTCAAGGAGAAACGGGGGAAATAAGAAAATTAAATAAATAAATAAATAAATAAATAAATAATGATAAGGAAATGAGAAAAATGTTTTCGCGGATGTGGTGGTAAGCGGGACGAGGGGTTGGGGTGGAGGGGAGCGAGAAAATAACTCGTTCGTAAAACGAAACGACGCGATATGGTTTAGGTATTATTGTTCAAACAAAAATTCACCTCGTAGTAGATTCAAAGAAACTCGAAGGAAGGCTTCGTTTCGTGTGTCCGTATAATGTAACGTTGAGAGAGCGGAATTGCCTTAGCAAGTGATGAACGTTCACAATGTTGACGATAATCTCGAGTATTCTAAATAGAATTTCGGTTTTAACTTTGGAATTGCCGTATACTTTCTTTGGTCGCGAAATATTCTTCTTCCTTCCGCTTTCGCTCCCGCGAACGTTTCTTTTGTTTTGACATTCGTTAGAACAGAAGAATAAATAAATAAACAAACGAATAAACGAACAAGAAAAAAATATAAAAAGAAAAATCTAACAAAAAAAAGAAAAGAATAAACGAGGGAAGGATTGTCTAACGGTAAAAAATAATAATAATAATAATAATAATAATGATAAAGGAAGAATAAAAAAAGAAAGAGATAAATGAAAATAAATATTTCAACGATTATTGATCTAAAACGATTTAAAAAAAAAAAAAAAGAAATAAAAAGGAAAAAAAAAAGAATCTTCAAATATTTCCAAAGTCGAGTGCTGTTACTTGCGAGAGAGGTGTACAAAAAAAAAAAAAGAAAAAAAAAGAAAAGAAAAGAGAAAAAATAATTTACTAGCCGAAATGAAGGACAATTATTAATTATTAGTCCTTCTTGTACGAAAAGAAACGATCTCTCGAGCATTAGGGGAAGGAATTTTGACAACAACAAATTCCAAAAAAGAAGAAGAAGAAGAAGGAAAAGAAGAAGCACGATCGTCGAAGAAGCGCGTTTAGCGAGGAATCAAAAGAATTCGGATGTCGATCGAGCGATTATTATCGAATACTCTCCATAGGATATAATTGCAAAATAAAACAATAATTATAAATAATCCATATTGTTTCTTCGGATAGTCTTCAATAGGCTGGCGTTGTTGAGAAGACAATGTTAAAAGACGATATTAACTTTAATCGTATTGTACATTTTGGCCATTGGCATTGACGCGACAACCAATCACAAGTTATCTTTTAAATATTAATAAAGAGGTTCAAATATTAATAAAAGAAGAAAAAAAAAAAAAAACTGTTAAATTATATTAAAGGATCGATTAAAAAATGTAGAGTATGTAATATTATTAACGAAATGAAAATAAAAAACAGAGAGCAAGAGAGAGAGAAAGAGAGAGAGAGAGAGAGAGAGAGAGAGAGAGAGAGAGAGTGAGAGTGAGAGAGAAATTTAAATAAATAGAAGAATGAGGAACGATAAATTTTCCGGGTATCAAATTTTTGATCGTCGGGGCGAGCGCGCATTTTTTTAGATCTCTTCAAATGAACCGAATAAATTATTATCTCGTAAAAGAACGAAAAGAAGAAAAAAAAAAAAAAAAAAAAAAAATATTGCGATCGCCGAGAATTCGCTATAGAACATTATTTAACGTAGTTAAGAACGAAAAGAAAAAAAAAATAATCACATGAAAAAAGAAAAAAATATGTAAAAAAGTTAATACGGTTTCGTTAGTTGAAGAGAGAAGTGATAAAAGTTGTTACGGGGAACGGGGATTACGAGAAAGAAGGAAGAAAAAAGAAGGGGAAATGTTGTTTTCAAATCGGCGAAATTATTATACCTTACATATTTACATACGTATATTGGCACACGTGCTATATTATTGATTATTGTTAGGACAGCTGTGATTATTGATATGGTAAAACAAAAAAAAAAAAACAAAAAAGAAATGAAAAAATAAGAAGAAGCAGAAGAAGAAGAAGAAGAAAAATAATTACCAGTTTCGTAGTATCCTCAAAAAAAGTTTCAAGCCACTTTGCTATCTTGCGAAATAAAATTGGGGGAGAAATAATAATGGAAGAAAAGAAAAAAAGAAAAAGAAACAAAGAAAAAAAAAACTACTTATAAACAAAAAAGAGTCTTGAAAAATAGGTAAATCTTTCTTATCATTGTTTTCGAAAAGATACGACGCGACTAACAGAAATAATAAGAAAACTTAAGGACAAAGTTAAAAGAAAAATTGTCCCCATCCATTTGTTATCCGGTAAAAAAAAATTTGCCGAGAATTCGAGACGGTGGAAACGAATGTTCGTTAGTAAAAATTTCGAGATCCGATGATTCCGCCTTATTCTTTCTCTTCATTGTTATTACATATTTAAAAGTAAAACTTAACGAGGAAAAAAAATTTAACAAAAAAGAAAAAAAAGGACAAAGCGAAGAAAAATAAATAAAAAGAGGAGGGGGGGGGGAGGTGAGAGAAAAAAAAAACCAAATAATAATCGACAAATGTACCACGTTAATTTCACGCAATTGTGATCGACGTATCAAATCGAGAACGAATTAAACGAAATATTATATATATATAACAGATATCTCGAATAGATTATATTTCGTTTTAGAACGAATTTAGATGACCGCGAACGAGATGCATTAAAGATGAAAAAAATTCAAACCAGAGCGCGAGATCCACGGATTTTGTCGCTGTTATCCAGGATATTCAATCTGAAATTAGTATTTAGTTTAAAATCAATCGCTTAATACTACTACTACTATTATTATTATTATTATTACTATTACTACTACTACTTGTCACAGGGTACTGTCGATTTGACTGAGAAGTTATATTATTCTGTACGTCGAAGATATATATTATACACACACACATATATATATATATATATCTAGATATATTATATAAGACAAATAAATGTATAATATTATAGAATCTTGTTAATAGCGATTACGTGATATGATGAATAATAATAAAAAGAAGGAAAACAATGATCAAGAAGAATAAGACATAAAATGAAACAAAACGTAAGAAAGAATAAACGATCAAAACAAATCTATTAAAAAAACGTCACACGCGCGTATTTACACAAATTCGAATATATACATATGCATAAACGAAATAATTTTGAAGATGAAGCAAGAAAATCGGCGATAAAATTGCATTTTTTTGTGCCGACTCGGAAAATATATACGAATGGAATATTTATCATCTCGTTCGACATATGTATAAACAATATAAAATGAGCAAAATAAAGATCTAAAAAAATAGAGAGAGAGAGAGAGAGAGAGAGAGAGAGAGAGAGAGAGAGAGAGAGAGAAAGAATTCTTCAAAAAGAAAAATCTTTATTCCACGTGAATCGTCGGCTATTTATATATATATACATATATGTAGGTACATACACATACATATATGATAAAGTATATCAAATAAAAAATAATTGTTCGATTTCGATAATATTTGAAGGACAGGGAATTAGGATAGAACAAATCGTTTCCACTTTCTCGAACCGTACGGCAAATTTGTCATTTTAATGGGAATCGCACTGAAGTTAAACGCCGAACATTTTCCATAGATATTTAAGAAAGATAAGGTATCATT